TATTTATTTGACAGAGAGAAATCACAAGTAGGCAGAGAGGCAGGCAGAGAGAGAGGAGGAAGCAGGCTCCCTGCTGAGCAGAAAGCCCGATGTGGGGCTTGAACCAGGACCCTGGGATCATGACCTGAGCCCAAGGCAGATGCTTAACAATTGAGCCACCCAGGCGCCCCCACATTTTGCTCTTAACCCATACTCTGTTGTCTTATCAAGAGGATGCATACTCCATTTGCAAATAAGATTATGAAGTCTTTGAGGACAGGGGCTAAGTATGTAAGTTTTCTGAAATCCCCTTTTTTTTAAAGATTTTATTTATTTATTTGACAGAGAGAAATCACAAGTAGGCAGAGAGGCAGGCAGAGAGAGAGGAGGAAGCAGGCTCCCTGCTGAGCAGAAAGCCCGATGTGGGGCTTGAACCCAGGACCTGGGATCATGACCTGAGCCGAAGGCAGCGGCTCAACCCACTGAGCCACCCAGGCGCCCCAGCCATTTCACAATTTTAATCTCTTTCACAATTTTAACTCTCTCTTAAAATTTAAAAACTTCTCTCTTGTCCCAATAAATTCACATGTATTAATTTACCCTTCAGATATGTCCCCACAAATGGGGAAAGAAGACTTTATAGTAATATTCACTGCCAGTTTTATTTTTAGTATCAAAAGGCTGAAAACTTATAGTCTAGTCATCCAAAGGGATACTGTACATTCTTAAAAAGAAAAGGGGTACAGTTTCAGATTAGGCATTATCTCCAAAATTTACCATTAAAAAAATAGAGTGACAACAGATTAGTGTGCTACCATTTGCTGAGAGGAGGATTAAAGTGCATACACGTGCACCAGCTATTTCTCCTCTAATTCATACAAAACTGTTAAGAGTGGGTAACTCTAAAGAGAATTAAATAACTGGGGGGGTTAAGACAACAGGACAATTTTATGTGTTTTTTTTTTTAAGTTTATTTATTTATTTACATAATCTCTACCCCCAACACGGGGCTCAAATTCATGACTCTGAGATCAAAAGTCACATGCTCAGGTCTCCTGGGTGGCTCAGTCGGTTAGGTGTCCAACTCATAACTTTGGCTCAGGTCATGATCTCATGGGACTTGGAATCAAGCTCTGCATCAGGCTCATACTGAGCATGACACCTCCTTGAGATTCTCTCTCTTTCTAAAGTCAATAAATAAATCTTTTAAAAAAAGGGGGTGTTGCATGTTCTACTGAATAAGCTAGGCAGGTACCCCAAAAACTTTGTTAATTAAATAAACTCATTACTTTAAACAGATTCTTTGTTTTCTCCCATTGCTAGGCCTAAATAAGGTAATACATTAAAAAATTATTTATAACTTACCAAATGCTAAGGATTCAGTAACTTAGTTATTACCATTATTCTTCTAAGTGTACCATAATTTAACCAGTCCTTGAATGTCAGACATTTAGATACTTTTTAGTCTTTTGCCACAATGTTACAACAAATTTCCATTTACAAATACTCATTTTGTGCATACACATTATCTGAATTTACCATGCACATGTTTTTGTTTTTAACAAAGAAAATATGTGTTATTTTTTACTTGACTTAAAAGTCTAAAGACAACATAGTACATGGAGACTATTAAAAAAAAACTCTGGCCTCAGCAATATATATACCCACTTTAAAAAAAATCTGTTAAGCTTGACATTAGATTTTTTTTAATAACTTTGGTTTTTTCTTCTCATTTTAAAATAAACTGATTCAGTGGTGCCTGGGTGGCTCAGTTGGTTGAACATGTGACTCTTGATCTCAGCTCAGGTCTTGATCTCAAGGTCATGAGTTCAGCCCCACTCTGGGCTCTATGCCCAGCATGGAGCCTACTTCAAAAAAATAAAATAAAATAACTCACAGAAAATAAAATGTTAATAATTTCTACATAGAAAGCTCTTAAAAAACCTGCAAAAAAGAACACTAAGATCCTATCAGATAAAGTGGTAAATAACAATGTTTAATTAACACAGGAAAAATTATTAAGTGTTCCAAAAGTAGTTCAACCTCTTAATCAATTTTTAAAAAATGAAGATACCTGTAGTGGTTTTACAATATATAAAAATTTTTCCATTTTCCTTCCCTTTTTCAAATATAGTTCCTAAATCTCTTTCCCCTTAAATGTGTGTAAGGCTGCCTTCATATGTGTGCAACCTATGCAGTCACACAGGGTCCCAAGGTAAAAAGAGCCCTTAGCTTGATTTAATGCTATGCTATATACAGTCTTAAAATTCACAATAATTTTTGAACAAAGGTCCCTGCGTCTTCATTTTGCACTGGTTCCAGAAAATGACATAGCTAGTCCTGAGTTTAGGGCAGACTAAGTGCTGAGTGATAAACAAAATATGGCAGAAGTGACTGAGACGGTTTTTAAAAGAGCCTCCTTGCTCTTTCTTGTCAATCACTCTAAGCAAGCCAGATGTCACTTCCTAAGGACAACCAAGGATCCTTATGGGAGCAGTACAGTCAAGCCTTCAGATGACAACAATTGTTGGCTGGTATCTTGCCTGCAGTCTTACAACAGACCTCAAGCCAAAAGGACTCAGCTAAACTGTTCACCAATTCCTTATCCCCAGTAACTATTAGGTAATAGTTACATTTTGAGTAACTAGGTTTTAGGTAATTTGTTAGGCAGCAATCCGTACCAAATGTCAGCAAAACGTATAGTGAAACTGGCATTCTCATATACTGCTGATAGAACTGTATATTGGTGAAAGCTTTAAGTATATACCCTTTAACATTAAACTTATAAAAACCTACTTTGAGGAAATGCTTAAAACATAAAAATAGAAAATCTTTATTTAAGCAAGCTGTTCATTATAATTTATGGTAGCCCCAAACTAGAAACAACCTAAATGCCACAAAATAGACATAAAATACATACACATAAACAATTTAAAAATGATTAAAAATCGGGGTGATTATGATATAAGCATTTTCTACATTATAAAGTTACATGTGAACAGATTATTATGAGGAACACCCTAAGTGCATTAAGCATTCATTTAAAACTACCAGAAAATATACCACCATTATGTTCACTATTTTATCTTTCTACTTCTATTATCATCTGATTTTAATATGCATGTTTCTTTTTTAAAAATAAGCGTGTTTCTTTTAAAAATATAAATTAACAGGGATTCCATAAAGATGATGATGAAAAAGTACACTTCAACCAAGTAACACTAATTATGTGACTGCACTGACTTATTCCCAAAGTAACTGAGAAAAATCTCTGAAGAAAACCTTGTTTTGAGTGGCATTCCAGATGTACATACCCAAAAGAAAACTTTCTGGCTTCCAGATAGATCTGATTGATCAGTTCTCGAGTTGGTGCTACAATGATGCACTCTGGTTCCTGCAGCTCTTTAAAACGACTGGCTGTTATTCCATCACGCATCATATGTGCCAAAATTGGCAAGAGAAAAGCTGCCTAGAAGTTGAATTACATAATTTACAAATTTATAATACACCATCCTTCTCCCTGTAGAAAGAAATCTATTCCTTAATCCCTTACAGCTTCTAGATTCTTCTTCCACCTTGCTGGTAAATTTAATATGAGAGAGGAAAACAATTATTTCAGTGAGTTTTTGATAGACACATTTCAGTTATTTAAAAAGCATACCCATGAATTCTAAATAATTAACATAAGCTTATTGAGGGTAATGTACACATAACTTGATGTAAATCAGTGCATTTAGCAATTACTCTAAATGAATTCCTTTTGGAGTAGAGCTAAAATTATCACAGGATACATGACAAAAGTGGTACACAAACAACAAAAATTGGGAAATCATTCATTTGGATTACTCACCCTTAGTAAAATTAATGTGGCAAGTGACATTTTGTGCTAGTTTTCTCATTAAGCAAATCAGACAGTAAAATCTACTTCTAAAACTATGTGTAGGTCATCCATCAGCTGCTATATTATACAACTCCTTTATTATCCTTTCAATTCTACTACAGAGGCTAATAAAAGTTGAAATAGCATGACCCATAATTCTTTGATTCAGAAAGGATTGGCTTTTAGACTCATCTCAAGGAACTCCATTTAACAGACAGATCCCAAAGGTAAGTTCTAAGACCAACCTGATCCCATCAGAGCTCTTTTAGATAGCGTAACCTGAAGTTACTCCATATTAAAGACCAGGTACAATGCATATTGCTATTTCTCATTCTTTTGACTCCAAAACTTTATCAGCTTTATTATACAACTTATTTTCTCTCTTTCTCTGCGTTTTATAACCTCTGATGCTTTGACCGTCAATCATTTTGTTATATATATATTTTTAAGGGGGTAGGGCAAAGACAGAGGGAGAGAGAAACCCAAGCAGGCCCCATGCCCAGCACAGAGCTCGATGAGGGGCTCGACCTCACAACCATGAGACCATGACCTGAGCTGGACATTTAACCAACTGAGCTACACAAGCGCCCCTCAATCATTTTGTTTTAGACACCAGCATCTTCCAGGAATTGAACAGCCTTAAAATGGATTAAACATCTATAAACTGCAACACTATTCTAGAAATAGTTCTAAATTCTTTCTTCAGAAGTATACAAACCCCCTTTGGGGCTCAGATAGTTGAGCTTCTGCCTTTGGCTCAGGTCCAAGCCTGGCATTGGGCTCCCTGCTCAGTGGGGAGCCTGCTTCTCTCTCTCCCTCTCTTCTACTGTTCCCCCTGCTTGTGTTCTCTCACTCTCTGTCAAATAAATAAATAAATAAAATCTTCAAAAAAAAAAAAAGAAGTATATGAACCTCAATAAAACCAGAAATCAGAAACAAAACAATGAGTACTTTTAACAGTTCACTGAAATCATCAACCTTCGATCCAACAAAAAAGACAAACTACTTGAGAAGAACTAAAGTTCAAAAATTATTAATAATTTGATTATGGGGCAGACTATATATGGGGAAAAGGACTTACAGTCTTTCCAGACCCTGTCTGAGCACAAGCCATCAAATCTCGTCCTGCTAATATAATAGGAATACTGTATTTTTGCACAGGAGTAAGCTTAGTATAACCAGCTTTAGCAATGTTTTTATTCAGTGTCTGACAGAGATTAGCTTCCTCAAAAGTCTAAAAGAAAGGGGAAAGGGTATGATTAAATTCCATATATCATATGCAGAACATTCCATAAACATATTTCATTTGAGTAGTCTCAAGCTTTTGTTAACTCCACTTTATATACTAAAGTTACTTTACCAATATGCCCCCACTCAAAAATACTATCTACAGCCTGTATATTATTACTTGATGGAATTAAAGAGTATTCTCTATAGACACTAGTTCTAAGGACATTTTTTTCTGGCCCCTTAAAACCTGTAAAATATAAATATCTTGATCAGTAATAATGGCTCATTAACAACAGGGGACAACAGGCACCCCCCTACTACTTAGAATATCATTCTCCTAAGACAGATTTCTCATATACTTAAGCAGCAGAAATCTTTAATCCCTAGGAAAAATATCCTTTTTAGTAAGTTTAAATGAAGTTCTCATCCTAGTTTGGGAATGTGGGGATGAAATTTAATACTCTTTCAACATAGCCATTAATTCTACAAGTAGTATAAAGTAGACAAGGTTCTCAATTTCTGACCTAAAACATTATATGCTAAAAATGAAACTTTTGTATTCTGCAGAAATGTACCATATATGTTACAAACAAAGTATGTTATATAGTCAATACAGAAAAAATTATTATACTAACCAGAATTGCTGGTGGTGCATCATGTCCAGATACTTCTACAAGAATAGTATCATATTTGTCAAAGTTTATGCCTGTCTGATAATGTGCAAAGATGGAGTCCTCATCCTCAGGTGGAGGAGGTGGTATATAGGTCACCTTTGGTCCTTAGAATTCAAATAAAAGATAGAGCTTACTTTACAAGGACCAAAAGAAAAGTAAGAGGGAAAACAAAAACTGAAAATCAAATTTTAAATACTGAAGAACTTCCCACTGTTTACCATTAAAATTCACTTCAAATTAAAAAAAAATGTAACTCTGCTCTTTTCATTTTTATTAAAATGCAACAGACGTTCATGTGGCTCACATAAAAATTATTATACCTTGAGTATCACCACTTTCTCCTCCTTCAGCTTCTGACTTCCAAGAATCTTAAAGGCAATCAAACCCAAAAAAGAGTTAAATTTTTTTTTAGTTTAGAGGTGAAAGAGCTTTCACTGTAAAAATCAAACACCTTATCTAAAGTAAAACTTACTTTTTCCAGAGCCTGTTACTACTTCTTCATTTAAACCTTTGTAACCACCTAATAAAAGAAATTCATACCGATAATTAGTCAAGACACAAGGTTATGCACATCTTTATTTTCACTGCTTGTCTTCAAAGAGAACAAGTTCTAAAAATGGACAGACATCTTTAAAGTCCTTCATACAAATTAGACAATTAAGATAAATAGAATCCTTAACAACTTTAGGTTTAATATTAAAAATGCTCATTTTATGTAGATGATACTGATTTATGTTATCAGTTTTTGTTTAAGCTACTCAGTCCCTTTCCTAGTTCCTATATTTCTGAGCAAAGGAATGTATTTTCTTCTTTTTTTTTTAGGAATGTAGTTTCTAAATGAACTAAAAGTCCATCTGTATGGGGGAATCCCCACTACTATTCCCAGGTTGTATGACTGAGCAGGACTCAGAATATAGTCATACTCACAGCTAGGATTTATTACAATGAAAGGACAGGAAGCATCAGCAAAGGGAAAAGGTGCATGGGGCAAAGTCCAAAGATAACCAGATAAGAGCTTCCCAGAGTCCTCTCCCACTGGTGTCACAAAGAATACACTTAATTACCTAGCAACAAGTTGTGAAAACATGTTGGAAATGTTGCCTACCAGAGAAGTTCTTTAGGGACTCAGTACCCATGGTTTTTTATTAGAGGCTGAAAATGCAGCCACCACTTTCTGCCTGGCACATACCAATATTCCAGACTCCAGAAAAAAAAAGCTGGTATTAAAACTACATTGTTGTAAAAATACTCCAGGCACACTAAGCCATTCTCAAACTAGTTAGGGTGGTGAGAACCCTCCTCAAATCCAATTTCCCAGATGCCAGGAAGAAAAACAACTTTGTAAGAAGGACATTCAAAGAAGAGAAGTCAGGCCTGTCATGTTAACTATTTCCCATACACTACCTTCATGGTTTTAAATAACTAGTCCTCTTATCGTGCCACTTTCCAGTATTATCACAAAAAAGAATAAGGACTGCATCCGATTTGAAAATCTAACTAGATACATTATCACATGTAAACTCTCTTTCTTGTCCTGAACATCCACAGATCTTTAAATCCTTTACCCAACAGGATTTGAGCATTTGTAGATATGGTTTAACTAACCATTAATAACTTCTTTATGAAGAATCTAAGAATCAAGGTGGGAAACAGAGGTAGTTCAAGGGAGTCATCTCTTTGAATGCTCTCAGACTACTAATGATCACTTTGGATTTTTCAGAGATATCAAATAAATTTTATTATTTTCCTAGTCCAGAAAGCATTTTAACTTTTATATTACAACATTTAAATATTATAACTCTGAAAAAAATTTTCATAGTACAAAATCATGTATACTGAACTTTCTTTATGCCTTATACCAAATCAAATTAACTATCTCATAAGAAAAAACATATTGTTTTAATATAAGAACACATACATACAAACATATTTCAATCTTCAACATCTGCACAGGATCCTATTTTAGGGCGATATGATTTATTAAACCATTATTTATTGATGAATTTTGGTTGCTTTTCAGTTTTTATTATAAATGAAGCTTCAGTGAACACCCTTGTGTATACATTGAGCAAATACATCTATGGTATATAATCCCCATAATGGAACTGTTACACAGAGGAGTATTAAGTAATACTCCAAAACAGGCTGAGCATATGTCTGCTCCTCAATATGTGTTAAAGCACTAACAGTCACCAAACCTTTAACATCAAAAATGAAATTAGGATTACTATAACGTTAACTATTTATAGGTAAACCAAGTAAGAACTCACCTCGTCCACTTCCACTGCCACTTCTGCTTTGGGAAGTGTCACCATTACCTGTAATGCATTTTTTTTTTTTTTTACAGATTATTTAGAGAAAACATAGTTCACCATTTTTTTTAAACACAGCTCTCTTCTTTAAACACATAAACCAAATAGCTATTTCTATTCAAATATTGAGTGTTACAGATTCCTGGTCCCTTCATCCATCCATCTCTTAATTCTACATTTAATTTAAATCTTTTCCTTATTTGAACATTTTGTTTAAAGACTTTTCCTTTCTTTAAGAGAGTTTTAGATTTACAGAAAAATTGAAGGAACAGAAATTTCCAATATACCGCCTCCTGCCCCACATTTGAACAGCCTCCCTGTTATCAATACCCCCCACCAGTGTAGTACACTTCTTAAAACTGATGAACCTAAGCTGATATGGCATAATCGAAGTTTACATGAGGGCTCACTCTTGGTGTTGTACATTCTATGTGTTTGAACAAATATAAAATGACATGTATCCACCATTAATGTATCACACAAAGTCTTTTCACTGTCCTAAAAAAAAAAAAAATGCTCCGTGCTATTCATCCCTCCTCCCCCAACCACAGGCAACCACTGATCTTTTTACTCTTTTCCAGAGTTGTTTCTTTTCCAGAATGTCATACAGTTGGAAATTATACAGTGTGTAGCCTATTCAGATTGGCTTCTTTCATTTAGTAATATGCGTTTGGGGTTCCTCATCTTTTCATAGATGGATAGCTCATTTCTTTTTGTTCTTCAATAATATTCTATTGTCTGGATGTGCCAGTTTATCCACATTTGCACATTTTTAGCAACAATTGGGCTTTTTAAAAAATTTTCTCTTCAAATCTCCTAACTCAGGTTCCCTTTGAAACCACTAAAACTTCATTTTGCTTCCTCCAATTAAAGGTATAATTTACACATCAAATTAACTGGTACATAAGAGAGAAAAATTAATTCACAGCGTACACATTTTCTAAGGAAGGCAAAGCTGCGCATGTATTTTTGTCTGCAGATCTACAAAGCAGACAAAATCATGAGCTAACCTACTATACTCGAATGTGCCTATTAGGTTACTAACTGTAGAGCTAAAAGCATATATGAATTGTTAACATTCAATAAGAAATTCTATTTCTGGGGCACCTGGATGGCTTAGTTGGTTAAGTGTCTGCCTTCCTCTTATATCATGATCCTAGGGTTCTGGGATCCAGCCCCACAACAGGCTCTTGGCTCAGTAGGGAGACTGCTTCTCCCTGTGCCCCCTCCCCGCCCCAGCTCATGCTCACACTGTCTCTCTTGCTCTCTGACATAAATAAATCTTTGGAAGGAAAGAGGGAAGGAAGGGAGGGAGGGAAAGAAAGAGAAACGGAGGGGGGAAAGAGGAAAAGAAAGAGAGAGAAAGGAAGGAAGGAATTAAATTACTTCTAGGGGCGTCTGGGTGGCTCAGTGGGTTAAAGCCTCTGCCTTCAGCTCAGAGGGTCATGATCCCAGGGTTCTGGGATCGAGCCCCACATTGGGCTCTCTGCTCAGCGGGAGCCTGTTTCCCTTCCTCTCTGTCTACTTGTGATCTCTGTCAAATAAATAAATAAAGTCTTAAAAAAAAAAAAGAAATTAATTTTATTTCTCACCTGCGCCACTTAATGCTGGTCTTCTAGAACCAAAAAGGCCACCAGTGCGCTGTGTTCCCTCATCTTGTTCATATTCACTATCTATATTTATACATAATAAAATGAGATTCTGTTACTTTGAAGAAGTTTTAAAACCATATAGTATAGAGGAGAAAATAAAGTCACAGTGCCAGAAGTTTAAAGATGTGAGGCAAAATAGTTTAAATTTTAAAGGAATCACAATGAGCTTTTTTCAAAGTACCATACAAAAGATTTCTCCACAAATTATTTCCTTCAATTATAATTACTTCCTTAAAGTTTTTATTTTATTAAAATTATTTCATTAAAGCAGTTAGGGCCAATGCTATGTTAAAATATCATATAAGCAAAAGTTAAATAACCTCCAAAAACTAAACTGTTACTGCTCTAGAAACTTCACATTGCATGATCTTATTAATTATTCTCCAGAATAGGACACCCCCTTGCTCCCACTATTGCCAGATCAAACCTTCTAAGTCCTGAACAACAACCCCTAGGCCCCTACACTTTTTAAAAAGTGACAATTCACTGATCTCCTACACATCTATTAAATCATTATTACAAATTTAATTTTAACTTCCAAAACCACTAATCTATCCTCCTCCATTAAGAGGCAAATGCAATCCAACAATGACTTCTGAAGTCAATACCCCTAGCTCCAAGAAATGATGGCTGGAGTAATTTAAAGTAGAAAGCCATATTAGTGAAAGAAGGTATATTGGGTGGGGGTGGGGTGGGGAGGTAGAACCTTAGAGAAGGCCACCTCTTTCTAAGGCTAGCTGTCATTATCAAGTCCCTAAAACCCTTAGAAATAGTAAATAAGATTAAAGAGCTGAGTCACACAAATTTCTAGAAAGATCATATATTCAAAATAACAAGTATGCAATTAGATATGGGTCTCAAAAATAATGTTATATACAATGTAGATGATTATGTACCAGTCACTCTGCTAAGCTACTCTCATACAATCCTCTCAACAACCTTATATGTTATATATGAAGGAAATGATGAAAAATAAAACCTAACAGATAAAGCACACCATTTGCAATTCACTACTAACTTGGACTTCCTAGACCAAATCCTCCACGGCAACCTCGGAAACTACCTCTTCCACCTCTTCTGGATGACCCTGAAGCTTCTGAATCATTTCCATCTTGATAGCCTATAATATTAAAACAACACACAAGAACAATACAAAACAACAGCAAAAAAATCTTGGAGAAATGGTGGCCAAATTTAATTTAAGCCTTGCATAATTCAATGACTTTAAATATTCTAAGGCATTAAGAGTTAGTAAAAAGAAATGCCATATTTGACCTATAAATGTTCAACTTTACTAAAATAAACAAACACAGCTATAATTTTTTTAAAAAAATACTGCTTGCTTTGAGAATCAAAACTCTTCAGGTGCTGGCTGGCTTAGCTGGTAGAATACATGACTCTTGGTTTCAGGGTCATGAGCTCAAGACCAAGTTGGCAGCACAGTTTATTTAAAAAAAAAAAAAAAAAACCAAACCTAAAAATGACTAAAAGAAAAAAGTGTCACTTGTAAAAAAATGAAAGTTGCCACAACTACATCAATGGCAAGATTTCCACAATGCAGAGAAGGATTAGATAAATCTAGGTTTATATTTCTTCCTTACAGAAAACAGTAGAACATCTTACTCAAAGCACAGACATACAGGCATATATAAAGTCTGATTTCCTGCTATAAATAACGTGTTAATTCAACTGAATACCAAAAATCGGTATTAACAGTACTAGTAAAATCTGACCCCCCTAGAGCAGAATGAGATCAGTTCAAAACCAAAATGTCAACTGGGCAGAAAATAAAGAAAGTGATATTTACTTTATGAACTTGCCACTATTTACAACCAAAGAAACTGACCAATAAAGGTAAAAATTCTCCATATGTTTCTTGATATTGAATATATGTGTTTTCAAAACCTATTTCTAAAATTGGACAGACTTAATTCAAGGTAAATTCAGAGTTATACATCTACTACCTAAAACTTACAGATCCTCAATCTGGCAATAATCTACCAATAATTACACTTATATTTCAATTACAAATTATTTATTTGTGCCCCTTTATCTTGGAATAAGCCTTGTTGGGGTTTCTCTCTTTTCAAGAAACGGTTTATCTTTTTGGTATGTTTCTTTTTAAGGTATGTTATTTTGATGTATGCACATGAATAAATAAAATATATAAAACATATATACAAGTTTCAAATACAATAAAATGAAAACATATGGACCCACAATACCCAACTTAAAACTAGGAATGTTCCCAAAACCTCTGGAGCCCCAGCCCCTAGATAGTCTTTTGCCATGTAAATTCCACCCCCACCTTTCCCAACCAATATCCTGAATTGGTTTTCATTTCCTTGCTCTTATTTTAATTTTACCAACTATGTACATAACTTTCTGCAATGTCTCTAGTTTTGTCCTTGAGCTTTATGTAACAATCATATAGAATATATTCTTTGTCTTGCTTCTTTAATCCACCTTTGTTTCTGTTGATGTGTGAAAATGTACTTCACTTTTACTGATGAATAACATTCCATTGTATGTTTCATTTATGTCTATTATCTAATTCCCTTCTACTGAGTTTTTAATTAAGTTGAACATTGAGCTCACTAATTTCTTTTCTACTCTATACATTTAAGACTGTAAACTTTCCTCAAAAAGTTGGCTGCTTTAGCTGTATCCCTTAAGTTTTCATGTTTTTATTGTCCATTCAATTCTAAATACTTTATTATTGCCATATAAATTTTAATTCATAAATTGATAAATTCACAGTTCCCAAATCACAAGGGTTAGGCTTTTCATTACTGATTTCTACTTTCATGAAACTTTAACAAGAGGACAGAGTTTGTAATAAATTCTATGATATATTTTGGGACTTCCTTTTGGCTTTAATAGATGGTAAAATTGTATTTTTTATATGCTGTAAAAGAATGTGTAATTTATAATATGGGCCATATTATTCCCAACAAATTTCAAATCAAGCTTAGTAATTGGTATTCAAAACTTCTATAGTTACCATATTCTTAATCATTTCTGGTCTGCTCATTTTTTTTTTAAAGATTTTATTTATTTATTTAACAGAGAGAGATCACAAGTAGGCAGGGGGAGGGGGGTGTGGGCAGGGGTGGGGAGAAGCAGGCTCCCTGCTGAGCTGAGAGCCCAATGCGGGGCCCGATCCCAGGACTCTGAGATCATGACCTGAGCCAAAGGCAGAGGCCTAACCCACTGAGCCACCCAGGCTCCCCTGGTCTGTTAATTCTATCAGTTCTAAGGGGAAATGGGGGGGGGGCACCTAAGTGGCTTAGTGGTTAAGCTCCTGCTTTCAGCTCAGGTCAGGACCTCAGGGTCCTGAGATAGATAGCACCCCATGTGGGGCTCCCTGCTCAGCATGGAGCCTGCCTCGCCCTCTGCCCCACCCCCTGCTCATGCTCTGTCTCAAATAAAATCTTGAAAAAGAAAAATCTTACGATTAATGGTTTAACTAGAACTTGCAAATTTTCCATATAATTATATATACTCCTATTTTATATAGTTAAGAATATTGTTAGATTTTCAAACCATGTTCCAAACTGTAATATCTTCTCAGTGAACATGACTTCTATCATTAATTATTTTTTTATTCATAATATATCTGCTTTAGGGTCTGTTTTGTCTCTTAAACTTCTACTGGGGTTAGTACTGGACTGACATTTTTTCTCTTTGTTTTCAACTATGCATTGACACAAGTTTACTGTCAATATATATTATGATTACTAATGTATCAATTCCTGCTTCTGTCATCCTATTTTGTGTTTTACCTTCCCTGAATTTTTTCAATGTTTTTTTTTGTTTTCCTTTCTGTCCTTCTATTGATTTCCTAAACACTGCATTTTGTGCTTTTAATGATATTCTTCAATTTCAGCATGAATATTTAAGAAATATTTATCTTCAACCTTGTCTCCTTCCTCAAAGTCCCAGCTTTCTATCCTATTGGATTTCCTCCATTGCTTAAGTTATACATTATATCTTTTTTCTTATTATGCTTCAATTTTACCATTTTTAAGAAATTCTGAAATTAGGTTCAATCTGTTCTCTTTCCCACTGAGCTGACAAAGAACTTAAGTCTTTTCATTTGCTAGTATTTTAGTTCTATCTTATTTCTAAAACCCCTAAATTAATGACATTATTACTATCTTCTAAAATACTTATTTAGGTTTACCAATATGTTTACCAATTTTAAAGTGTGTATTTATTTAGTTATGCTCATCATTGCTTCCTACATCTTTCTTGTTGCATACAGTTTCCTTCTTCTTAATATACATAATTCAGTAGTTCTTTCCTCAGTGGCCTGATAGTACTCAACACCATCTTTACCTGAATGGTGTTACTTCTCTACGACACCTAAATTATCCTATAGTAGTTTTGATTCAGAACTATTCTCCATCAGGATTCTACATTCTCTTCTATTATGTTCTCTACCTTTATTGAAAAATAAAAAAGTTCTGCAGTCGATCTTTTGTTCTTTTATAGATTTTCCTCTTTTAGCTCTAAATATTTTTATCTTCATAATTCTGCAATGTCAATACACATATAAGACTGTATTTTTTTAATCTGCTCAAGATTCTTGTGCTCTCTTAACTCTGGAAAAGTTTCTCAACTATTCTCTGAATAGTTTTCTTTTCCCTCCCTCTCCTCCTCCCATTTTCTCTGTTCTCGACTCAAGAGATATTAGACATATGTTAGAATAACAGAGCTTCTAATTCTATCTTCCATAACTGTCAAACTGTTTCATGTTTTCCATTCCCAAATTTAGAGAATTTCCTCAGATCTATCTTTGGACTCACTAATTCCACTCATCTTTGTTTAATCTGTTTAATCGATTCATTATGCTTTTAATCACTACTGCTTTCTGTAAATTCAATTTGGTTCCTTTTCAAAACTAAATTCTCTAGTGAGCAAATGACTACAAAATGACTCAGTACCTCCGGTATCTACAGCTTAATAATTCCATACACAGGAGAAACACAAACATTTAAATGAACTTGCTCTTTTTTTCCCATAGCTCATGCCAATTTCTAGTTATACGAGGAGCATAATAACTGGAGGTAAAAAGATCATGGAAGTTATACAGAAATAAAAGTCTGAATGATTTTCTTCTTAGAAGGTAGGGACAGAAACTCTACATACTCCTACATATCCTACATGGTGTTAAAAATAATTTGTTTTTAAATAAATAGGTTAAAAGGTTAAGTAAAACACTATTAAAGTTAAAATGAATGAACTAGAACTGTACTTTCAATATATAAATCTTAAAAACATGGGAAAAAAAAAAAAGTCACAAAAAAGGGGAGGGAGAGGAGTGTGCCTGGCTGGTTGAGTCAGTAGAGCATGCAACTCTTCACCTCAGAGTTTTAAGTCTCAGCCCCCCAATGGGTGTAGAGATTACTTAAAAATAAAATCTTTTTTTAAAAAATCACAAAAAGATAGGTATAATAAACTTTTATAAAAGTATGAATAAGAAGTATACACTATATAACAATGTTTTAAAAGGTTACCTCTGGGGGAAAAGGATATATAAAACACAAAGGAAAGATAGGTCCTCTAACAACTATGTAATTTTTTTTCTATATTTGAAGTATACATGAAAAAATGTTTCTGTTAAATTCAGGTAGTGGTATATAAGTATTTGTAATAGAATATTCTATGCTTTTCTGAGTTCTTGAAATATTTCAGAATTTACCACTCTAAATGTCACTTTTCATAAAATAACATTAATATATTTTTAAAGGTGACATTAGTCCTTCCATGAATTCTGCATTTCATAAGGGACAGCTGACAATCTCTTGCAGCCTTTTAAAGATGTCTGCTAACGATCTTCAGAAAGGAATAAGTTTATAAATCAGTTAAACTTTGTGTAAAAGAAACATGAACATCTTTTCTTCATTTAAAAAAGTACTTACCATAAATTTAGCGAGGTCACTCAACCTTCAATATATAAAATTCAATTGTATTTCTATATACTAGCAAACAAAATGAAAATTTTTAAATGATATGGATCACTGACATCAGCGAAAATGGCAAAGCAAGAAACTCCAAATACTGCTACTCCAAAAAAATGCAGAAAAATTGTCAGAATTAACATTTTCTAAAATGAAAATTAATCAAACTTGTGGTAACCCAGAGAATTTTTTTTTAACCCAGAGAACAGTGAACTCTGTGGCATATTTCAACTTACTTCAGTCCCATCTCCTGGCAATTCCACTTCTAGGCATATATTCAAAAGATGCAAGGACTCAAACAGATAAATACATATGAATGTTCATAGAAGCATTATTCACAATAACCAAAGTAAGTAAAAACCCAAATGTTCATCAATAGATGAATGGATAAAATGTGGTATTATACATACAATGGATTCAGCCATAAAAGAAATATACTTTGTTCAGACATACGCTACAACATGAATGAACACTGAAATCATTATGGTAAGTGAATTAAGGCAGACACAAAAGGGTCAATGTTGTATGATTCCATTCAACTGAAATATCTAGAATAGAGGCAAATTCAAAGAGAATATAGAATAGAGTTTACCAGGAACTCAGGGGGACAAGATAAGGAGACGTACTATATAATGGATATAGATTTCTGCTTTCAATTTTGGAAATGGAAAGTGGTGACAATTGCATAATACAGTAAATGTACTTAATGTCACTTAATTTTACGGTTAAATGTAATTAAAATGGCAAATTTTATGTCATAGTTATTTTGTCACAAAAAAAGAGTAGAAAATTTCTCAAATTTGATGAAAATATAAATTCACACATCCAAGAATCTTAACCAACTCCCAGCAGGACAAATTTAAAGAGATTTACACCTCTACCCTATCAATAATAAAACAAGAACAAATGGTGCTAGGACTAGATACTCACATGCAAAAGAATTATATTGGGGCCCTCCTTCACACCATATATAAAAATGAACTCAGAATGGATCAAAAAGCAGAATAAAATTATTAGAAGGAAACAGGTGAACATCTGCATGGCTTTTAATAGGCAAAAATTTCTAGATATGACACCAAAAGCACAACCAAGAAATTAAAAAACAGATAAACCAGACAGCAACAAAATTTTAAAAATGCTGTGCTTCAGAGGACTCCAGCAAGAAAATAAAAAGGTAATACAAAGAAAAGATAATATATCTGCAAATTATCTATCCAATAGCACATGTACCAAGACACGAAGAATTCTTTAAACAATAAGACACTGCAGTTTTTTAAATAAGCCAATGATTTATATAGTTCTCTCTCCAAAAACGATACACAAATAGCCAACACACATAGGAAAAGCTGTTCAACATAACAGCCATCAGGAAACCCAAAACAACAATGAGATACCATTTTACTCCCTCAAGGATCACAACCACCAAGAAGACACACAATAACAAAGATTGGTAAAGATACAGAGAAACCAGGACACTCATGCATTGCTGGAAGGAAGATAAATTGGTGCAGTTGCTGTGGAAAACAATTTGGCAGTTTTACTCATAGGTATATGCACCAGAAAAATTAAAACATATGTTCACATAAACCTTATATGCAAAGGTTGATAGCAGTATGTATCATACTAATAAGTCATAATATCCCAAAAGTAGAAACAACCCAATAATCAATCAACTGATGAACAAACAGAATGTGATATAGTTACACAGTGAAATATTACTCAGCCATTACAAATAATTAAGTACCATCACATGCTACAACATGGCCAAACTGCAAGATCATCCTAAGTGAAAGAACACACAAAAGACCACATATTACATAATTCCATTTATATGAAGTGTCCAGAATCAGCAAATCCATAGCTACAGAAAGTTGATTAATGGTTGCCAAAGGATGGAGATAAGAAAGAAATGGGTTTTGGCAGGGAAGAGACAAAGAAAATATTCAGGAATTAAATAGTGATGATGGGCATACAATACAGTGAATATATTTAAAACTACTCAAGTACACACTCAAAAATGGTGAAATCTATGTTGTATGGAGCATTAGATAAATAAAAAACATATGCAAGGGTGCCTGGGTGGCTCAGTTGTTAAGTGTCTGCCTTCAGCTCAGGTCATGATCCCAGGGTCCTGGGATCAAGCCCCACATTGGGCTCTCTCTGCTCAGTGGGAAGCCTGCTTCTCCCATTCCCTCTTCCTGCATCTCTGCCTATTTGTGATCTCTCTCTCTGTCAAATAAGTAAATAAAATCTTTAAAAAAATGCATAACAAAATATCAAATACAAAAAAACCCAAAGTATCAAATACTAATGTAAATAAAGATGTGTAATGACTCTCCAGTGAAAACTGCAAAACATAGCTAGGAAAAATTAAAGACCTACTTAAACAGGGATATTCATGGACTGAAAGGCTCAATATTGTAAAAATGGTCATTCTCCTCAAAATAAATGGAATCCCCAAAATATGCCATTAGGTTTTTTCCAAGAAATTGATCAACCAATTCTAAAAATCACATGCAAATGCAAAGAACTAAGAACAACTGAGGTAATACTTGGAAGACTTACACTACCAGATATTAGGATCTATTATGAAATTGTAGTAATTAGGCTATATAGCAAAGGTGCAAAAATATAGAAACTGACCAATGGAAAGGAACCATGTCCTGGGACAGTTCCATACACACTGTCACCTGTTTAGGACAAAGAAGGCCTGGTAGGACAGGAAAAGTCTTTCAGTAATTGATAAGGGATCAACTGGATACCCTTATGGGAAAAAAAATGTACCATGATCCCTATCTTACACCATATATATAAAAAAAAAAAAAAAAGCCCAGATGAATTACAATATGAAAGTGCACACTAAAAAGATAAAATTTTAAAGGAAAAATTTAAGAGTTTATCTTCATGACTTTAAAGTAAGCAAAGAGACTCCCAATATAAATGTTATCCAGGAGTTACTTTTACCATTTTTGCGAATTTTCTATAAGTTTTAAATCATTCACCAATGAAAAGGTAAAAATAGACACCCAATAGAAAAGATGGCAAAAGAATGGAATCAGCACTGTACAAAAGATGATGTAAAAATATCCAGTAAACTTATGAAGCACTGGACATGTCATTAGTCCATCAAGGAAAGGCATATTAAAACCACAGTAAGATAGACCACCACACACTCAGCAGAATGTTTAAACTCAAAGAAAAAGAAAATACCAGATGTTGGTGAGGATGTAGGAGTTATATCTTAGTATATCTATCTTGAAAACATTTCACAAGAGCTATTAAAGCAAAAAATATACAAAATCTATAAGGCATCAATTCTACTTCAGAATATATATCGATAGCACCAAAGAATGTCCACAGCAGCAGCTTCAAAATAGCCTAAAGCTGGAAGACATCCAAAGAACATCATTAGCTTAAGAGTAGAACCAAAGAGTCTATACAAGCAAAGGTAATAATCTACAACTGCAACCAACATTATGAATGCATCTCACAAACACATTAAGCAGAAGATGGACACAAAAGAGTATATTGCATGATTCCATTTCTATCGAGTACAAAAAAAATTAACCTATGCTGCTAAAAGTCAGATTAGAAGTTAACCATGGGATGGGAGGGTTGTCAGCAAAAGAAAATGAGCATAAAAGGGACTTCTAGAGGTGCCAATAATTTCTATTTCTTGATCTGGATGCTTGTGAACACAGTAAACCCAGGTGTGTTCAGTTAGTAAAAAATCACTGAGTTATACAGGTACAACATACACACATGTCTGGTGCTATATCAAGTTACATTTCAATATAAACTTAAATATGCTTATATTTATGCACGCATGTCTGTTATTGACCACCATGTGCAAATTTCCTATCTTCAAATGTATACAACTAAAGAGAATAGCAATCAGGGATATGCAAAAATGACTGTTTCCCTGCTAGTCACCCTGTATTAGTAAATAAGCAAGGATCAAGCACATAGAGCTGCAACTGGCTTTTGACTGCCTCACTTAAGTATGAATTAGATTAATTTAAAGAAAATACTGAGGAAGATATTCACTGTTCTGCAGAAAACAACCAAAAATTTAAAACTAAGAGCAATGTTTTAAAAACATTAGTGCTAAAAATTGCTTATTAAGCAGGGGTAGCAATTCTAGAGGATGAGTCTAGCTTTTTCTTATAGCTAAATTTCCTCCCCATCATTACATGTCCCCCTGCAATTATCGTTAAAAAAAACCAAAAACTTCAATTTATGAGACAAATAGCAAAACCTCCTTCACCACCAAATTCCTCCCCACCTCACAGCCTTAACATTGCTATAGTGAAGTCCCCACAAGTCCTAGTTGCACTAGGAAGGGCCTGGCATTCAATGGGCTAACTTTCTAATGGGTAAAAGAAAACGATGTTCCCAAGTCACAGTAAAAACACTGATGTATCTGATTATCATATAGTTCCTAAGAATAAACTCTTATAAGCAGATTTGCCCATTGTTAACAATTTAATAAGTTCACTATGTTTTTTGTGGGTTTTACTGTTGCTATTTTAACATGTCTACCCATAGGTTATCAAGAATTAAGTATGGTAATGTTTATACCACCTTATCTCAACTTTATTAGAGGCAGGATTAGCACAGTATGGTTAGAGCACTGCCAGACCTGAACAAAAAGTAATCTACAATTTCTTCACTCTCCCACATATCCAAATATTCTATTCAGAGACAAAGACATCCCAGTTCATAGATATTGTGACTGACCAGAACTCACAGTCCCTATTCTGTACTTCATAGCACATTCTGGAGATCTTCAGGGGATAAAAAATCCAGTGACATTAGAAAGCGTAAGTACAAATCATTCCAAAATGTGCTCCTTACCGCCTCTCTTGGAAAACCCTCTGCTCCGTGTTTGATTGTCTTCACAGTCATTATTAGATTCTTGAATAAAAATTTAACATGTGAATAGCATCTAAATAATTAACTTTAAAGTTGTAATATCTAAAGAATAGCACTATCGCAGGTAAAGTAGTGAGAAAAATGAGTATTTTTAAGTTAAAATATGGACATTTTAAATCTTCAAATAATTTTAGCAACAGAAACAAAAAGACATTATTCACTCAAATCCCTATACAAATCATTTAATATGCCTAAATGTTCAATGTTAACTGTATAATTGAGAATTCACTATTTCTCAAGTGCTACATACAGGCCAAAAAATAAGAATTTCATCAATATTGGTATGAATAAAAATGGTCTTAGAAATATCTAAACTATTAAAATAGTCAAGTAGAAATAAATGTAGGCCATCAGCCACTAGAAATACATGACTATTCTTTTTATAATACTGTCAATATTTCTGTAATATGCCTTTCTTACTGTATCTCAAACATTAGTGGGTTTTTTAAACATATGTAAATTTTTTCCCAATCATCCTAATGAAACAATTGGGGGATATCTTGGCTTTTCTGTTTTTAAGGATGTTATCAAGTAACATCATCAGTTTCTCAACAGTGGAATGCAAATCTCTACACTGAAGGTTGCCTAAGAATTAGCTGGAAGGTTTGTTAAAAATAAATTCCTAGAAAAAAATTACATCAACCAATCAATCAATCAATCAATCCATCCCTAGAATCCACCCCCAGAGATGTTTATCTTGAAAGTATAGAGTGAGAGCAACAAATGAATAATTTTTCAAAATTTAAAAACGTTACTAATATGACTTGAAGTAGTAACTTCAAGCTTTCTAGAAGATTCCAACAAAGCCACATTTGGGAAATACAGAAATGATTTCAAGAGACCTTTGTATATGTCATTAAATGTTTAAAATTTAAGAACTTTAAGTCATAGTAATGACATCAAGTGGCTAGACTGCTTAAAAGCTATGAGTTAAGTTCCTGTGCAAAAGTACTAATCTATTTAGCAACTAACCCAGAGCTCTTATTGCAGGCTCCTACTTGAAATGAAGTCAATAACTACCAAATATTCCTAAAGATTCATTTAATATCAAGACAACTTTCTGGGAAGCAGGATTTAATACTACAAGTGAGCTTATTAAGAAGGAAAGAATTTTGAAAAGAAAGTTGGCCAGCCCTGGAATAATGAGGACAACTAACATTTATTGCCTTATGTAAGAAAAAGCTGTAAATTAATTTGAGACCTGACAAGGACAAAGAGGTCTCCCATTAACTCTGTCCAGTTATTCCCCTAAAACAAACCTATATTTTGACCACACTGGGAATTAAAATAGCCTAATGATATTGGGAGAAGTTGGGTGATAAGTACAGCTACATTTGGAGAGGGGCAATGGAAACCCTCTGTACTATTTTTCTATTTTTTAACTTGTAATGAGTCTTATACTATTTCAAAATATAGTTATTGAAAAAAAATCTGTGGAGTTAGGAAATAAAGCCAAGCACCAACAAAAAAGAGATATTATCCAAAGATTAGCTACAACCATATTATATTATTACATAAAAATTAATTACAGAAAGTATGTAAAATATATATAACAGGTATGAAGTATAAATATTTAAAAACATAAACATAATATGATACATTAATTGAATATGTTAAACATATAGTAATAAATATATTATATATCTAATATATATTCATATAAATATATTACATGAAATTATTAATAATGAATAGTAATAACACATATAGAATTCAGTATGGTCTAGCACTGTTCTAAAGGAGTAATATGTACTGACTTTTTAAATTTTCACAAAAACCTTGTGAAGAGGGCATTATCCTCTTTTATAAATAGAAAAAATGAAATACAGATGTTAAATATGCTTTTTCAAGATAATACAACTGAGAAGAAGAGACTCTGGGTCTCAAATCTAGGGTGTCCAAATCCAAAATGAATGGTCCTTATCACTAACTATACCAGATGGAGGAAACTAGACTGCAGGGAAAATAACAACCACAAAAGATGCAATTTGTGTACAGAATAAAATCTTCTATCATGGTATCAAAATCTGCTCCTGGGCTTGCCAATAAAGCAAACCATTTTGGAGGAAAGTTCTCTCAGGTGCCATGGAAACTAGAATTTGTGCTCAAAAGTGCTCTCATCTACCACTGATAAGAGTCAACTGGGGAAGCAGGTCTTGGCTAAGTGAAAATGATCTTGAATATTCTTTTTTTTTTTTTAAGATTTTATTTATTTGTCAGAGAGAGAGAGCACGCACAAGCAGGTAGAGTGTCAGGCAGAGGCAGAGAGAGAAGCAGGCTCCCTGCTGAGCAAGAAGTCCAATGCGGGACTTGATCCCAGGACCCTGGGATCATGACCTGAGCAGAGGGCAGTGGCCCAACTGACTAAGCCACACAGGCATCCCTTAACTGGTTTTAAAAAGGGAGATTAGGTAAAATAGAAATGGAAAAGAATAAAAATGGTCTTTTTTCTTCTGTTAAATATTTGTCCTATGTTACATACATTTTCATTTGAATAAAATGAAAAAAGCATAGAAAATCAGGGAGAATGAGACTGACAATAACTTAGGGAACAGTTTTATTAGATATATTAAAACTCCATCTAATTCAGAGACCTGTACCCACAATTCCAAAGGGTTTTAAGGTGATCAGTCTAGGCTTGGTTTTGATTTTTAGAATCACTGTTAAGAGTGCAATGAAACTAAGACTCAAATATTTAATGAAGACAGATGGCATTTACTGTTTACCATGAATGTGTCCGATATTAAATTTCTTAATTTCATGCACATTTTCATTAAGTCTGCCTAACCACCTATAACAGGGATGTCCTCCATTCTGCAGAATAGCAAACTGTGGCTATGAGAAACTAAGCAACTAGCTCTAAGTCATTCAACTAGGGGGTCACAGAGCAGGGACAGGAAACAAAGTCTGCAACTCCAAAGATTCCACAGATAAGGCACCCCGGCGGCTTTGTTTGTTAAGCATCCAATTCTTGATTTCAGCTTAGGTCATGATCTCAGAGTTCTGAGACGTAGCCCTGAGTGGGCTCTGCACTAGGCATGGAGCCTACTTAAGATTCTCTCTCTCTTTCCCTCTGCCCCTACCCTCTACTCTCTTAAAAAAAAAAAAAAAAAAGACTCCACAGATAAGTGATTGCCAAACAAAAAAGCATCAGAGTCACCAGGGATGCTTTTTAAATACAGGTTCCAAGGCCTCACCCAAATCTGCTTCATCAGTTTCTTCTAGGAAAGCACTATTAATTATTGTAATCTATATTCTGGTAACATTACTCTATTCTCATCATCCTCTGTATTCCTCCAAACCAGTCTGTCAGTACCCCTGACAGAAATGTCTTGATTTCAACGCTCATCCACATTCTCATGAATCTTTTTCCACTGTCAAGAATAGGGACCTGCATGTCTCAAATTGCATGTATATATGGACACAGGAGTTTTGATTCTTGGCATGTTCTTTCCATTATCCACTTTTTCTCAAGGTAGCAAACCATTCAAAAGTTGCACCTCATAGATCAAGGTCAAACTAAGACGTCTGAGTTCTTGGTTACAACTCTGGCAACAGGTGCTTTATCAAACTGGGTTCAAATAAATTAGAAATGAAAAAGACTATGACACTTAATCTTAGTTTCTCTTTAGCATGTACACTGAACATTAAATTTTAAAAGGCCGCTACAAAAAACACTGAACTTACCTCTCCAGAAATCAGAGCTATCACCTTCTTCAAACTTGTTATTTGAAAAACCTATACAAAATAGAAAATTAAACTTGCAAATTCCTGAAAACAATTACCTGTACCTCTGTGGTAAACCAAACAAAAACCAAAGGGATTACCAGTTCTGATACCCCCTTAAAATAAAATAAACCACATAGAGTTATATATACATATCCTGAATGAAAACTCACACAAGTTGCATTATGACTTCTGCCTTGTGTCAATTAACTAAGGTAAAAGGTCCAGTCAGTGTTATACTACCTCAGATATCACATATATGTAGATGGTCGGAACAGAAGTATGTATCAACATAAACACTATATACTTCCTATTCAAAAGATCCAAGTTTTTAAAGCCTTATAAATTAACTCAATCTCCTCAACTGCCAGAGGACAATGCAACTAAATTATAATCCAATATCCAATAATTTTTCCCATTTCAGTAATAAGGAAATTCTTCCAACATTTTTTGTTTATAAAATTTTTTTATATCTTTCATTTAGCTTTGCTTTCAAATTTCTCATATAATAAAAACCTATATCTAGATTTGTGTGTCTCTAGAGCATACAGATACATCACTAAAATTAATTTCAAAAGCATTCATCAATAATATTTCACAAAATTTTAAAATATTGAATCTTAATAAAATTGTCCTTAGTGCAAAGATATTCAGGGATTAATATCCATTAAAATTAAAGGTCACTGTAATATGGCTGTCAATCAGTATTTAAGCTAAATTATAAAATATTAAATATATTAAATCATGGCAATAGAGACTAATCAATTAGTATCTGAAATGTTAAATTTATGTGCAGAATATATACATAAAGTCACTTAGTATCTCAGTTTCAAAAAATATAACATCCCTTTTTAGCAGAGAAATTTAATACACAATTATGATACAAAAGTAAGTGCCCAATAGCCTCAATATATGATTAGATGATAAAAAGGATTTTCCTTGAAAAGATTCATCATTTCAAAATAAACACAATCTGTACAGAAAGAGTTTTATACGATGAAACCTAAGTTTTGAGTTATTTAGTTCATTTCAGAATTTGCAATCTTTCAAGTTGGTTCAGAAAAGGATTATATTCTTTCCACTGTCCTCCACAACTGCTCCTTCCCTCCATTCTAACCTTCTTAACTGCCGGGTTTCCAAAATGCGTCGGAAGTCTTCAACCTACACATTACTGGTCTTGATCTTAAATTCTGTTCCAGTTCTGATACACAGTTTTTAAAGAAAAAAAGAACTTCAAAGCTTCTACTGGTTCTTTGCTCAACAAGGTGGAGATTCAAATTTACCTTTGGAAGTATAGAAGGTGGATCTCTTGTTGCAGAGCACAGGGCAAGGGAGCCTTGAGTACAGAAATAAACTAGGGTTCACTCAAACTGTGATTCTAAGATACCATAAGCAGTTTACCTCTGTTTCCAAAACTCTTTCCAACTCCAAAACCACCCATTGTGGATGTATTCTCTCTTTTATTAGACTCGCCAGCATCTGAAAATGTTCAGATAGAGTTAAAACTCTTTAAAACATAAAATTGATTGTGTCATCAAAAACTAGGAATTAAACAAATATTTGGGATTACTTAAAAATAAAATCTTTTAAAAAGTCGGGGGGATGGGGTGCCTGGTGGCTCAGTGGGTTAAGCGTCTGCCTTCAGCTCAGGTCGTGATCCCAGGGTCCTGGGATTGAGCCCCCTATCGGGCTCTCTGCTCAGCGGGGAGCCTGCCTCCTCCTCTCTCTCTCTCTCTCTCTGCCTGCCTCTCAGCCTACTTGTGATCTCTCTCTCTGTCAAATAAATAAATAAAATCTTTAAAAATAAATAAATAAATAAAAAGTCGAGGGGAGGACACCTGACTGGCTCAGCTGGTAGAGCATGCAACTCTTGATCTCAGGGTGGTAAATTCAAGCCCTGTGCTCAGTGTAGAGATTACTTAAAAATAAAAATTTTAAATGAAAGAATGAATCTCTGACATAAAGCGACATCCAAGGATGGGGGAGAAAGAAGTACAGGAACTTAAAAAGATAAAATCTCCTGCAACTTCTATTTAAACATTCTTAAATTTTAAAAATAAAAATTCTTGAATTATAATACCAACATAAAAACATAAACATACTATTGGTGAAATACAGCTTTCTACTGGTTTTTATTTTACTAGTGACCTGTTATCAGGAAATTCAACTCTCTGATGTTCTGTATATTGAAACCTCACCCTGAACAGAGCCAGCTATTAATGCCCCAGTATCAAAGTCCTGCTATTGAAAATTTTATACTCTTGTCCTGTTTTTTAATTATTTATTACTTATTCACTTTGTTAGCATTTAAACTTCTCTCAATCTTTCCACTTTTAAAACTCAATTTAGGGTGGAACTATATAATAAAGAAATAAAAGCTGCACTTACGACTCCCTTAGCCACATCTCCACCCCTCCAGGGTCTTTCCTCATGTTATCCTTGTGAGCTTTACCTCCAACTACACAACACTGAGCACCCAACACTTTAATTCACACCAAACAACTTCCCATACTCCACATTGTGAACTTCTACTATTTTCTACATTCTTACACACTGTTCCTTAAGCATGGCATTCCCTACTTTCCTATTTTTCCTATCAAAATTCTTTTCACTCTTCAAAACCCCAGTTCAAAGGCTATCTCCTCTATGAAGTCTTTCAGACCTCCAATCACAATCAATCCTTCTTCTACATTCCCACAGCACACTCTCTTTATTTCTTTCCATGTGTTTCTCTACCACTAGAGTTAAGAATTTTGAGAGCAGAGTTGGTATGGCAAGAAGCATGGCTATTTAAAACAAAAAAAATGGAACAAAAGACAGACAAAATGACATAAACTGCAACTTTAAACTATCACTAGAAAAAGTTAAAGCATTATCTTGTGGTCTTCATAAATTGTGTCTTATCTAACTGCATAATATCCTAGTACAAGGCAGTAAAATGATCTACAAAACTCCTAAAGCCATGTGCAAAATTGTGTATGAACAATTATCTCATATTTTCACCAAATTCTAAAGATGTGTGTGAGATTCAAGAAGTTAAAACTATTTAGGTCATAGTTCACAGAACATGAAAAGTGATTAATATTACATTTTAAGAATTGAGAGTCAATTTCAAAAATAAATTACTAGCTATGAAAGCTCTGAGAAAAAATATCAGAGATTGAAACTAAAAATTACATGAACAATAAGGGAAAGGAGTTACATTCATGGGTCTATGAATTTCCAAGATTATATATAGTACAATGATAACTTTTTAAAGTATCAACATTCAACCAAGAGTTTTGATCAGAAATTTAATGTGTTTTTCAACATAACACATATGGAATTAACAATGTGTAGTAAAATCTATTTCAGTGATGATTTTTTCATTTTAAAAACCCATTATTCAGAGATACAGGCTTCCAGTTACAGAATGAATAAATCACACAGATAAAAGATACAGTAAAGAAAATATAGTCATTAGTGTTGTTAATAATGTTGTATGGTGACAGATGGTAGCTACATTTGTGGTGAGCACAGCATAATCTAAAGAGTTGTGCAACAGCTATGCTGTATAGCTGAAATTAATGTAACATGTGTGTCAACTACACTTCATTTAAAAAAAAAAGAAGAAAAAAAGCATCTTCAATTCATGTAAAACTTTAACAAGATCTATGAATACATGCTCTGAATTTGAAAATTAAAATATTGCTAATTAATTTAAAACATTTCTCAGGTCACCTGGGTGGCTCACTAGGTTAAATATCCCACTCTTGACTTCAGCTCAGGTCATGATCTCAGGGTTTTGAGATGGAGCCCATGTGAGATTCCTTGCTCAGCAGGGAGTCTGTTTCTCCCCCTCTCTGCCATTCCCCTTGCTCCTATGAACCAACTTGCTCTTGCTCCTTCTCTCTTAAATAAATAATATCTTAAAAAACACATGCATCTATAGATCCATGTCTGTGTTAACTGAATCTAAATAAGAAATTAAGTTTTCTGGGGCGCCTGGGTGGCTCAGTGGGTTAAAGCCTCTGCTTTCGGCTCAGGTCATGGTCTCAGGGTCCTGGGATCGAGCCCCGCATCAGGCTCTCTGCTCAGCAGGGAGCCTGCTTCCTCTTCTCTCTCTTTGCCTGCCTCTCTGCCTACTTGTGATCTTTGTCTGTCAAATAAATAAATAAAATCTTTAAAAAAAAAAAAGAAATTAAGTTTTCCAAGTATCAAAGGAAATACTACACATCAACCTTTAGTGTCTCCAATGAATAAAAATACCTAGACGTAAAATCTTCCAACTAACATCTAATGAATTCAAGATTAAGTATTACATGTACTTAAAACTACCAATTAGCCTTAACTTATGCTTCCTATTAAAGAAATAAATGATTATATGTATTTTTAAATAAACTGGTGGTTCTAATATTTTATGGCACTATACTAAAACATAAAGCAAAATACTTTCAGTATTTTATTATTAAATTGAAAAATGGACTGTAGGAAGGTATTTCGCTATACCATTATCTGTCAAATCAAGTACTGGTTGTTCTAAAAATAAGAAGTTCCAAGTTTGGGGAAATAACGTGGTAATACTAATAAACTAACAGAAATGCTTCCATACTGCCTTTTCTTGAGAAGTAAAAACTTCAAAAAGAGATCCTTCTCACCCAGATCTCTGAAGCTTTTACAAACATTCCTTCTATGCCAATTACTGAATATCAATAATCCATATTAAGAAGTAGGTCTGTAAAGCAACTATTTTTAACCAATCTATTTAACCCATCTATTTTATCAATTTAACTATTTCCTACTATCCCAGGAAAGGAAAAAGCAAAAAGAGAACTGTTAATTGAAAAAATAATACTCATTATTTCAAAGTCTACTGTGCAGTGCGATATAACAAATATAGCTTTGCACTAAACAGTCATAATAGTCTCTATTCTTTCCACCATTCAAGTTGATAAGATTAAGGAAAGCAAAGATATTTACCTCTGTTCCCCATACTCCTCCCAGAGGCAAATCCGCTTCTCATGAAATGATCTCTTCGAGAAGGTCCATCATCCATTTCTAAATCAAGTAACAATTTGAAGCAAGTCAAAATAAGTACCTTGGTGGTACACAAACTTTTAACCTTTTCAATGTGCCATCTCCCACGACAAAGGAAGAATTCTATAAATTGGTAAGAAAGACAAATAGCCTAGTAGCCTACCTAAGGAAGTTCTCCAAGAGAAAAATAAAGGGTGATTAACCTTACTCAGTAAAACAAAATGTGAATCGAAGGAAGGAGATAGTTTTTTCAACCATATGACTAACTGCAAAACAGTTTTAAGTTTGCTAATACCAAAACCAGCTAAGAACATAGGGAAACAAGCACAAATCATATACTATAGTGAAGCTACAAACTAGATCTTGATCCTAGCTCTGAAAGAATATATTTGAAAGTATATTGTCACAGAGAAACTAAATCAGTACTTAAATCTCTGCATCAAGCCTAGATATAGTTTTACACATGAGTTCTATCAAACTCTCAAAGAACGAATCATTCCAATGACATATAACCCTCCCAGGAAACAGAAAGAGGAATTATTCCCCAATTGATTCCACCAAGTCAACCTGACTTCAACATGTCAAGGATTGAAGAAAATATCTCTTAATCAAAAGTGGATGTAAAATCTCCATAACAATTATTAGCAAAGCAAACCCAATAAGAAATTAAATAGATAAAACATTATGACCAATGGGGTTAAGTCCGGTATGCAAGGGTATTTTAACATCACAACATCTTAAAAAGGTAATTTATAACATTAACATATCAAAAAGAAAAAAAAACTATCTCCATAGATAAAAAGTACATGAAATAACCCAACACGATTTATTACTTAAAAACATACACTTAGGGGTGCCTGGGTGGCTCAGTAGGTTAAGTGTCTGCCTTTAGCTCAGGTCATGATCCCAGGATTCTAGGACTGAGCATCAGGCTCCGTGCTCAGCGGGGAGCCTGCTTCTCCCTCTCTCTCTGCCTGCCACTTGCCCATTTGTGCTCTCCCTCTGTCAAATAAATAAATAAAATATTTATAAAAAAAAAAAAAGGAAAAAAACATATACTTAGCAAACAAAGGGACATTCAGGGCAGCTCTGCTAATACTAGCAAAAGGGAAACAACTCAAACATATATCAAGAAGAGAATAAAAATATGTGGCACAGTTGCACAAGAGAGTATCACATATATTGTGCTCTATACTTTATTATGTAGTATTATGTAGTATTATATATATTGCATATGTGTAGTATATTCATACAAGAGAGTACAATTATAAATAGACCAAAACAACTGGCTGGCAACATGGATAAACTTTAAAAACAACACTGGATGAAAAATTTAAATTGCAGAAAAAGACCATAAATAGTAAGATACCAGTTTTGTAAAACACAAAGAACAAACTTAAACGCAGTGTCTGGGGAGACATACATATGTTATATGTTAACAAAGAAAGGAAAACAATGCAGGATAGGAATTGAACAGGAGAGAACAGGAAAAGCATATATAAGCTATATAACAGTAATAGTAATGTTTTTAAACAGGTGATCATGCAAAATATTTATTAAGGTTTATAATTTGCATATGACATTTTAAATACAGTATTTTTATGAAAATGTCTTCAATAAAGATTCAACAAAGTCACAAGGTAACAAGTATTCTTTGAATTTTTAACTCTAACTAGTTGCCCACATAGCTAACAGTAAAAAAAGACTAAGTAAAAAAAAGTGCAAAAAAAAAATTTAACCTACAATCCCTCTTCTGTATTTTCCCTTTCTTGCCTGATTCTGGCATCACAGTTCACATGTTTCACAGTTCACATGTGTAGCCTCTCTTGCTGAGGTTACACATTTCATCAGGTAACCAAAAGGTTGCTGAATTTTAGGCAGTAGTAACCAAGTTAAGTTCAAATGCTCTCAGATCATACAGAGTTCAAAGACAACTTAAGAAAGATTTACTCAAATTCTAACTGCTCCAACATTCAAGGGATTCCACATGGAAGTACCAGTTACAGTAGCACTAAAAAGTTGCATAGCTTTTGGCACACAGTAAACAGAAAAGCGAAGGTGATATTAAAAGGACAAGGACACAGCCAGAAAAATTAGCAATTCTCTAAATATTAACTTCTAATGTTTGCCAGGCTCTCCCCAAATATATAAGATGAGAACAGCCATGCTTCAGCTGGCTCAAATTTTAAAGCTATGATGTATAATACTACCATCCTTACCCATATGTGGCCATTTAAACTCAAAATTAAGTTAATTAAAATAAGCAAAATCAAAACTTCAATTCCTCAATTGTACTCATTAGTCACATTTCAAGTGCACCCTGTGGCTATATTAGCCAGTGCAATTAAAAAATATTTCCATCATTGCAGAGTGTTCTAATAAACAGCACTGGTCTTAGACTGGTAGTTCCCAAGCTGTGGCACAAAGACATCAATGGAAAAGGAGTATGCTTCCATCCTGAATCAACTTATAAAGCCAACTTCAGTACAGTGGTACTCAAATACATAAGAAAGTAACATACTTAAGACACTGCAAGCCTTTAAGAGTCAACAGGAATTGTTTTACCCTCAAGTAACAAACTAAAATATCCTTTACTCAATTAATTGAAATTCCTATATATGCTTCCCAGGATTTCTTCTATCTTTTGACATTTATATTATTTCACAACTACTGATTTTTTTCTCTCTTCAACTGCTATAATTTCAAGTAACTCTTCATCTAACCCATGTTGCACTTAAGATCCACATGATACATGTCCCTTTGGTTACTACAGTAACTAGATCCATACTTCTCCCATATTCTATGACAAAAACCCAATTACTAAGATGGAAGGCCAAAAATTAAAATTACCATAGAAATAAGTGTGGGGAGGCAAAAGGATAGATGATTTCCTAATAATGGGGTGCCTGGGTGGCTCAGTGGGTTGGGCCTCTGCCTTCCGCTCGAGTCAATATCTCAGGGTCCTGGGATCAAGCCTACATTGGGCTCTCTGCTTGGTGAAGAGCCTGCTTCTCCCTCTCCCTCTGCCTGCCTCTCTGCCTACTTGTGATCTCTTTCTCTCTGTCAAATAAATTTTTTTTTAATCTTAAAAAAAAAATGAATCCCTAATAAGAGCATGGAATCTTGTGTTCTGAAACCTCACTCAAGTCAAGCAAACATAGTTAAATATGTACAAGCTATACCGTATTATGCCTATTAGTAAAGAAAGGGTCACAGAGTATGAAAGCTTTGTAAGCACTGTAACGCTTAACTAAAATGCCTATGATGCTGTATCACACAAGCCTTAACCACACTTGGTATTGAGAATGAAAACCTGATATGGTTATATTCCTATATGGTTTCGCCTATTTTAATAAATTTCCAACCATGTCTGGAAAGAAAAGCAAATTCTCATTATATATATTTTCTTTCCCCAACAGTTACAGGACTTGTTTGGTGAAATAAAATAAAGTGCAACAGATCTAATCAAACAATACAAAGTACTGTCTCCTTCTGCAAAAGCATTCTACATTGGTATACAGCTTTATGCTTTACAAAATGACTTTATATGCATCACCTCATTTGATCTTTATCCTTATAACAACCCTGTTAGGAATCAGGATAGGTGTTGCCAATTTTGCTTTTAGAAAAAAAATGAAATGAAGTAAAAATCACAAAATAACACAATCTACAGGTGCTAGGTCTAGAAGGCAGGATTTCCATCTCAAAACTGTCCTCAACTATACCCATTCCAAAAATAATTTAAATTATTGGAACTAAAAGCAGACAGAAAAAAAAGAAAAACAGAGAGAGTACGCTACCACCCAAAAAGAAAAACTTAAGATTCAAGTAGTTTATTACCGTCAAAGTAAAATTAGCTGACAACTGAAACAAGTAGTCAAATTCAAGATAGGTAACTGTTATCAGATGTGCACAAGAAAATTATCATTTGAGGACCATAAATACCAGGCACTATGCTATGTTAGGCCTTTATATATATTAACTAGCTTATTTAACACTTAAACATAAAAGGTATTATCTTCATTTTAAAAATGAGAAAACAAATAGTTGAGAGAACCTAGCCAACTTCACCAAGGTCATCCAGCCAGCATGAAGACTGGACTTCAATTTGAACTCAATTATCAGACTTAAAGACCTACTTATTGAAGACCTGTACACATTTTGTACAGTAAAACTGTGAGAGGCACCTTGCTATCTCCAGGTGGTAAATAAGAGGACAAGTTGAAAATAATTTTGGAAAACACCCTATTAGTCACTCAAATTTGAAAAGTAAAACAGAGGACAGATACAAATATTTTTAGGGCTTACAGAAAATAGCATGTAAAAATTTTAAAAAGCTCAAGGTAGAATCTAAATATGATGGTCCAAAAATAGAAGGGTCTAATAAAGAATTAACCCATCCTTTCTTCTTTGCTATTAGCATATAGTTAAGAAGAAATAGGCAATTACTTTCTTTAATTTTTTAAATTCATTATAGGGCTTTCTGCTCTCACTTTCATGAATTTAATGATATGCCATCACTTAGTTTTATCAGTTCAATCCCCATCATAATAAATACACAGTAAGAAAAATATTGGTAAAGAAGTCCATGATACTAATAAATGATGAAGTACAGATATTGTTCTTTAGGGCTCTGAAGCCTATCAAAAGAAATAAAAAGGAACTCCATTTAAAAAGAAATTAATTAAAGCAATTCCCACTAAATGACCAAAGAATACATCCCACATATAATCACATTTGGACCAGATCCAGGAAGGAGTAGCAAATTTTGAATAACTTAAAAGAAATCCACATATTTAACCACCAAGCAAAAGAACAAAGAACTATGGGACTTCACTATGAGCTCTAGTCCTCCTGTAATCTTACAACTTGCCTCCAAAGTGATCTGCTTAACCCAAGGTAAAAAGGGTAAGGGAAGATAAAGACTTGGTGGTAAAAAGTTCTGAAACAACTTCTTAGTATTTAGGGCTCCCCGCTTCCTAATGTCTAATCCCCTTCATTATCCCAAGTAGCTCAAAGAC